GAGGAAGAATAGACCCAGCATCTAACAGCCAGTGAGAGGGAAGGGAGCCTGCCTGCCTCCTTGGACACAGATCATCCTCACAAGGCCTCACAGGGGACACTAAGGTATTTATTGTTTGTACTCATTCATGCTTTATATGAGTAAGTAGAAGAGCAGCAAGGGGCTAGAGTCTAGGAAGTTTTTCTGTGTGTCAAATGCTTCACCACCACTGCATGTCTCTGGAGAGAGTTAAATTGTAAGCCAGCAGCTTCTCAACCTTGCAATAGGATTCTGGGACAGTGATATATGCAACTGGGGCATCATGGGAGATCAGCATTCTCCCTAGGAGCATCATTTCTGTGAAGGCATAGCAGACAGTCCGTGCTCAGGACATGTGCCAGAAAGAGTGGGGGTAGCCTGCCGAGACACATTCATGGGAAACCACAGAGTTGGAGTCCCTTCTCAGCAGTCCAGTTGGTAGCTGGACTGGAGCCACCAGCTGGATTCATAACATACACTGTTCTAAAGGAAAATATATTTTCTGAGATCCATAAAGCAATGCTTTTAAAATATATATTCTGCATTTATTCCTCACAAATTCTGCTGACATTCATGAGTGCTCTGCAAGCAGAATAAATGTAAAAATGTGCCATAGAGAACTGTATTGTGGATCAAAGATGTAACTTGTTCCCTAAATAACAAATGAATATCTTTTTTTCTATTTCTCTTCTCAATTTGTTCCATTTTTTCTATTAGTGGAAACACTCTCCATCCAAAAACATGGTTTCTTCCTCAAACTATACTGAGATATGGAAATCATTTAAGATAGAATTTTAGCATGGATTATACACAAATTACTTCTAGAAGAGAACTGCTAGTGCCTGAAAATTAGACTAGGAAGAAGTCCTTATTTAAGATAAACGTAAAGATGCCCAATCGCTAAGCTAAGTAGGAAGAACACTTCACAGTTTCCCCTTCAATAGCTTAAGCATATCATCTCTTCTAATACTAGAATCAAAAGATCTTATGTCAGTCCTATTTTTTATTGAAACAAAAAACAGGACTATGTAGCACTTTAAAGACTAACAAGATGATCAAATTCGACATTGTACACTTAAGTTTGAATAAAGACTCTAATTATCTTACCCATTACAAAGATAGCTTCCCCAATTATCATCTCTAATATCATTAGCTCACAGACATCTATAAAAAAAAGTCGTTTAAAGACCTACATCTAATCTGACAGCTATGTTCTCCCCTTAGACCATTTACTTGGCTTTCATAATGATGATTCCTGTCCCAGGACACAAGGACTAGATTCTCTACTCAGTCCCTAGAATAGCATAAAATAGAATCAAGGCACCCTATCATCTTTCAAGACTAGCCAAAAGATGTAAGGAACATTGTTCCAATGGGAAAAATTAGAGATACAATTAACGTTTGCCTTACCATGGACCAAAACATCTTTCTGCTGGATGTTATCAACACAAAAGAAAAAGACTGTACTCCTCCCCAAACAGTTCACAATCTAAACCTAAGACAAGAGTCGGCAGCTAGATTAAGACAGGGGGAATACAAGGAAAAAAGTGATAAAATATTGATCAGTATGGTAAGTAGGGTATCAGTGCACCAGTGACTTAATAGGTATCAGTTTGTAGTGGACAGCACAGCAAAAGGGGGCTTTTAAGAGGGGTGCTGAAGGAGGACATTAAGGTAGCTCTGTGGATATTTATAAGAAACTCTTCCCAAACATGAATGGCAGAATGCACAAAAATTTTACAAGTGGGTGGGAGGCTAACATGATTGGTTAAGAGGAGAAGGAAGTCCATATTTCAGTACTAAATGGGGTATGGATAAACCATAAAGGACCTTGAAAGCGAATACAAACAGCTTATGTTTGAGGAAAAAGAAGGAGGAGCCAGTGGAAGGATTCAAAGAGAGGGGTGATATAAATTAAAAGCTAGGAGAAAGCTCTTCTTATCAGCATGATGAATGGATATGAGTAGGGCAAGACTGCAATGGCAGAGAAAAAAGGATGCAATACTTGAGAAACAAGGTGAGGAGAGCCTGGATGACCAGTTTTAGTAATAAAGGCTACATCTTAGACATGTTATGTAGAAAGAATATGCAAATTTTAAATATCACCTGGATGCAAAGAGCCAGAAAGAGCTCCTAAATGAAGATGGCACCCAAGTTACAGACCTGCATGACAAGCAGGATAATAGTGTTGTGCACAATAACTGAGAAAGTAAGTGTGGGGGAAGACACAGAAGTGCTCTGATTTAGCTTCATTTAGCTTGACCTACTGGATAGACATCCATAAATTGTCAGAAAATTTTGTATGAAAAAAGAGGACAGAGGTCTGGAGGACAAAGGAAGTTCTGTATATTATCAGCATGGAAAAGGTAGTTTAATTTGTGTTTGTGGAGGAGATCAAGGATGGAGCCTCCAAAGGAGGCACAAACAGGTTAGAGAGGTAGGAATACAAGCAGGGCAGAGTCATGGAAACCAAGGGGAAACAAAAATTCAAGAGGAACAGCATGGTCTCAAACTCTGACTTTGAAGCTAGAGGGGACAATCATAATCTAGTCTGCCTGTATACTATAGTCCACTGAACCTCACCCACCCACTCCTGTAATAGACCAATATTCACTGAGTTAGTGAAATCCTCAAGTCATGATTTAAGGACTTCAAATTGCAGAAAAGCCACCTTTTACACTATTTTAAACCTCCAAGTGACTTATGCAGAGTAAGGTAAAAGCACTCTGAGGATCTCTGCCAATCTGAACAGAGAGGAACAATTTTCTTTCCTTCAAATATGGTGGTTGATTAAAAAATTAGCATGTGTGCAAGACCCACCAATTAGATACCTGGGAAAGTGTTATCTGTAGTAACTTAGATCTCCTCAAATAGGATTCCATCACTGGCCATTGCAAATACTTGTCTCAGACAACTTGAATGCCGTTGTTGGCAGTTCATCATATTATATCCTTCATAAACTTATCAAGCTCAGTCTTGAAGCGAGTTACATTTGCCCTCCTTCCTTCTCCCCGCCCACACACACACACACACACACACACACACAGTTCTTTTCCTCTTGGTCAAAGGTGGCTGACAAGTCAAGGGGGATGAGGATCTTTTACTGGTTCTGAGATGTGCCCAGAAACAAGTCTGTGAATATTTCAGTATTTATATAATTTGAATCACTTTTATATCTTGAGGCAAACCACCAAAACCATTCAAATTATTCCCCAATTTTAAAATGGCAAAGGTTACAAGCAGTCTTTAGAAAAAGGTATTCTCTTGGTGTTACCCATCAGGGATCTTGATGAAACAAGTATTGTCAGGATGCCCACAAGTTTTTTTTTTAAAAAACCCTCAAAGCTATGTTACTCTTCAAGATGTGTGCATAATTATCTACACAATTATCTCACGTTCCTGTGGTTAAAGACATCTCTTCCTGCTTTGTAACTACTTCTATTTTAAATGTACATGTTTTGTCTTTGTTTAGGCTCTTTGCAGCAGGGACCATGTCCCTCTGAGGTCTCATGTTTTAAATTCTCATATTTTTATATATATATATATATTTGTTTGTTCTTATAAGCCACCTTGAATATTTTAAATAGAAAGGCCAGGTAAAAATATTAAAATAAATAAATGTCTTCATCTGTAAAATACTTTAGTGGTAATAAGATCACTTAATATTTTTTAAAAAAAAAATCAAAGAGCACAGCAAAGTCAATTGATGGAATTGAAAATCTCATCTTTTGGAGACAAAATTCTGTAGTAGATGAATGGAGAATAGCAGGTATTTTCCAAGGCATAACTAATACTCACATAAGACTGACTCATTCAACTACTCAAACTAAAAAATATTCACTCACTGCAAATGAGAAGGGGACAAAATGTACCCATATTAATCCCACATAATAGGCTATTATAAAATGCAACTTGGATTAATATATATATTTTTAAAAATCCGATTGACATCAAGGTGCTTATATACTAAAAAATTAAATGTATTTTGATTTTTCACATTATATAAAAGTCTGTCCCCGAGAGAATGTAAAATGTAATAGTATGACCAGTCTGCCCCATTATCTAATAGGATAAACAAAGGCACCACTCTAAATACAAGCATAGAGGGGGAAACATTAACACATTGATATGAAGAACATATGGCTCAGTTAATACGAATTCCATTCATGAATATGTACTTTCAACAATGACCAATTCTATTGATTACAAAGCATCAATATATTAGTCATAGCATCTACAAATTTTTAATATTCTACTTTGACAGACAACTACCCAAAAGGAATAAGATTAATGCAGTTTACCAGAATGTGTTGTAACTTTGTAGGATTTAACTAAATATTTAAATATCCCAATAAGTAGCTACACGCATTTAATACTTCTGAGATTTTTTTTTCCCTATTACAAGCTTATACAAATGGGCTGTATTCACCCTGACCTACTGCAGTAAAACTGCTTGAGCTTGGTGACTCAGATTTATATCATTTCCTGAACTCTGACAAAGATCCCATAGATTGAATCCTTTGAGGGTTAATTGCGTCAATATCATATTTCATTGCAAAAAGAGCTGTGTCCAGTGCTTTTAAGATTTTCAATTTCACCCACATGGTACATTAAAAATGAGGACGTCTGTTTGTCTTATAAGCATTCTGTAATTCAGGATATGTCTTTCACCTCTACCCGCAAGCCTGAAAATGTTGCCACATGGAACCTCCTGCATCTTGACTGTACTTCTCAGCGCAATGTATCCACATCTGAAAATCATCCTATGAATAGGTAAAATCTGCCACCTACTGGTCAAGCAAATTATTTTTCAGCATCACAGTGAGGACTGCCATAAATGCAGGAACATGTACTTATGCTTAAAGCTCAGTGTGTCCTTTACAAGGAGGACAGACCGTTACAAGGAATAGTTTTAACAATAAGACTCACTGTAATCATCTGCTCCAATCTCCAGAGTACTAGTAGGATATAATTGCACACACCTGCCAATAAAATCATCCCTTTTGCCAGCATCTTTGTCCCACACAGTAACATCAATAATTCCACCTCGCTCTTCATAGAGATGAAAGTCAAATTGCTCCCTCCACTGAGGATTTAAAGTTTTTGGCACAATCTGAAAGGAAAGAAAGACATTATTGCACTGTGCAGCCATGCTCTTTCCTGAACAGTGAAATTAATCTTTAGATGTTTCCCAGAATGTCTTACTCATACAATTAATGGCTTTAGTGCTGATTTTTTAAAAATAAGGCTACCAAACAGCACCATGCTCCTGTTGCACATAGTATCAACCTCCAGAATCTCTCCGTTCATTATCACTCAAAGTCTGTAAAACAATGAATTTGCCCTCAGAACTGAACCATTTTTCTCTAGAGTAATGATTCCTCATCTTGAGTGACAGGAAAATGACAAAGTTGTCTTTCTAAAGCAAAGCCAAAAAAAACCCTACCTGAAAATGACAAATAGTCTTGAAATTGAAAGCACTTAAGCAGCAACTGCAGTCAACCAACTCTGCATGATCTCCTCCTCTTTTTCTTGACATTATAATATTTGGAGTTGTAAGGATGAGGAAAAAAAATCAATTTACCAAAGTAATTTGATATTTATTTTTAATTACAGGAGCAGATGCAAGTACTTAGTGAAATATCAAGTCTTAATTTATTGTTGAATTCAGGTTGAAGTGAACAACTTCACTGGTGTATTTTATTCTGGATATCTCTGAGAAGAAGATATTCACCTTATGCAATAACTGCAGTTCTTCAAGATGCATGTCCGTATGACTGTACAACTTCAAGTATTCATGCAACCTGTGCACCTATGATCAGAGATTACATGTGCTCCAGATATCCTTATGCTTTGCACTAAGAACACAAGGCTGTACAAGCAAATGACTCAGTTCTTTCTCTACCGTGAAGTCCTTCAAGACAACTCTGAATCAGAGAAGGCAGAAAGTGGAGCATCCATAGGGACACACGTCTAGAAAAATTCCAGTTATTGCACAAGATGAGAAAATTCTCCTTCAAGGAATCATAGAATCATAGAACTGGAAGAGACCTCAGGAGGTCAAGTCCAGCCCCCTACCCAAGGCAGAACCAATCCCAACTAAACCAACCCGGCCAGGGCTTTGTCAAAAATCTTTAAAAACCTCTAGGGATGGAGATTCCACCACCTCCATAGGCAACACATTCTAGTGCTTCACCACCCTCCTAGTGAAATAGTTTTTTCTAATATCCAACCTAGACCTCCCCCACTGTAATTTGAGACCATGGCTCCTTGTTCTGCCATCTGTCACTATGTGAACAGCCTTTCTCCATCCTCTTTGGAACCTCCCTTGAGGAAGTGGAAGGCCGCTATCAAATCCCCCCTCACTCTTCTCTTCTGCAGACTAAACAAACCCAAATCCCTCAGTCTCTCCTCATAGGTCATGCGCTCCAGCCTCCTAATCTTTTTGGTCGCCCTCCACTGGACTCTCTCCAACGCATCCACATCTTTTCTATAGTGGGGGACCCAGAACCGGACACAATACTCCAGATGTGGCCTCACTAGAGCCGAATAAAGAGGAATAATCACTTCTCTGCATCTACTGGCAATGCTCCTCCTAACGCACCCTAATATGCCATTCGCCTACTTGGCTACAAGGGCACACTGTTGACTCATATCCAGCTTCTCATCCACTGTAATCACCAGGTCCTTTTCTACAGAACTGCTACTTAGCCATTCAGTCCCCAGCCTGTAACAATGCTTGGGATTCTTCTGTCCTAAGTGCAGGACTCTACACTTATCCTTGTTGAACCTCATCAGATTTCTTTTGGCCCAATCCTCTAATCTGTCTAGGTCACTCTGGATCCTATCCCTGCCCTCCACCATATCTACCTCTCCCCCTAGCTTAGTGTCATCTGCAAACTTGCTGAGAATGCAATCCATCCCCTCATCCAGGTCATTAATAAAGATGTTGAACAAAACCAATCCTAGAACAGATCCTTTGGGCATTCCACTAGAAACCAATTGCCAACTTGACATCGAGCCATTCATTACTACTGGTTGGGCCCGACAGTCTAGCCAGCTTTCTGTCCATCTTACAGTCCATGTATCCAATCCATATTCCCTTAACTTGCTGTCAAGAATATTGTGGGAGACCATATCAAAAGCTTTGCTAAGTCAAGGTATATCACATCCACTGACTTTCCCATATCCACATAGCCCTTTACCTCATCATAGAAACTCATCAGATTGGTCAGGCACAACTTGCCCTTCCTGAATCCATGTTGACTATTCCTGATCACTTCCCCTCTTCCAAATGCTTCAAAATGGACTCCTTGAGGATCCCCTCCATGATTTTTCTGGGGACTGAGGTAAGGGTGACTGATCTGTAGTCCCCTGGATTGTCCTTCTTCCCTTTTTTAAAGATGGACAGTACATTTGCCTTCTTCCAACCATCCGGGATCTCTCCCAATCTCCACGAGTTTTCAAAGATAATGGCCAAAGGCACTGCAATGACATTTGTCAACTCCCTAAGTACCCTCGGATGCATTAAATTAAATACATGGATTTGTATATGTTTAGTTCTTCTAAATAGTTCCTAACTTGTTCTTTCCCCATCAAGAGCTGTCCACCTCTTTCCCATACTGCATTGTCTAGTGCATTAGTCTGAGAGGTGAGCTTGTACATGAAGACAGAGGCAAAGATAGCATTGAGTACTTCAGCTTTTCCCACATCATCTGTCACTACGTTACCTCCCTCATCCAATAAGGGCCCCAAACCCTCTCTGATCACCCTCTTATTGCTAACATGCCTGTAGAAACTTTTCTTGTTATCCTTCATGTCCCTTGCTAGCTGCAATTCCAATTGCTCTTTTGCCTTCCTCATAACTCCCCTTTATTCTCGAGCAATATATTTATACTTCTCCCTAGTCACGTGTCCAAGTTTCCACTTCTTCTAAGCTTCTATTTTGTTGTTTAAGCTCACCAAGGATGTTCCTGGTAGGTCAATCTGGTCGCCTACCACATTTGCTTTTCTTGCTGCAAATCGGGATGATTCCTTCCTGTGCCTTCTTTAAAAGACTGCCAGCTCTCCTAGACTCCTTTCCCCTTCATGTAAGCATCCCAGGGACTCTCGCCCATCAGTTCTCTGAGGGAGTCAAAGTCTGCTTTTCTGAAGTCCAGGGTGTGTATTTTGCTACTCTCCTTTCTTCCTTTGGATAGGATCCAGAAATCTACCATCTCATGATCACTGCTTCCCAGGTTGTCACTCACCTCTACTTCCCCTACTAGTTCCTCCCTGTTTATGAGCTGCGGGTCAAGCTCCACATGGCCCCTGGTCAGTTCCTTCAGCACTTGTACCAAGAAGTTATCTCCAACATTCTCCAAAATACTTCCTGGATTGTCTGTGTACTGCTGTATTGGTCTCCCAACAGATGATAGGATGATTGAAGTCCCCACGAGAACCAGGGCCTGCCATCTGGAATCTTCTCTCAGTTGTCCAAAGAAAGCCTCATCTACCTCATCCACCTGATCTGTCGGTCTATAGCCAACACCAATTACAACATCACCTTTGTTGTTTCCATCTCTAAACTTAACCCATAAAGACTCAACAGTCTTTTCTCCCTGTAAGTACTGGAGCTCCAAGCAGTCATACTGCTTTCTTACATATAATGAAACTCCTCCTCCTTTTCTCCCCCGCCTGTTCTTCCTGAACAGTTTATACCCTTCCATGACAGTGCTCCAGTCATGCGAGTCATCCCATCAAGTCTGCGTTATTTCAATCAAAGCATAGATCTTTGCCTGGGCCAGGGTTTCTAATTCTTCCTGTTTGTTTCCCAGGCTTCTTGCATTCGTGTACAAACACCTTAGATAACCAGTTTATCTTCCTACCTTTGTTGCTTGTTCCTCCCTGCGATCCTTCCCGGTATCCGACTTCCTCACTTACCTCAGGGCTTTGGTCACCGTCCCTCAACGAAGCTAGTTTAAAGCCCTCCTCACTAGGTTCACAAGCCTGCCCGCGAAGATGCTCTTTCCTCTCTTGGTTAGGTGCATCCTATCTCTTCTTAACAATCCTTGTGCCCGGAACAGTGTCCCATGGTCGAAGAAACCAAAGCCCTCTCCCCGACACCACCTGCGCAACCATGCATTTACTTTGTCAATTGGACAATCCCTACCCGGACCTTGTCCTTCAACTGGAAGGATGGACAAGAATATCACTTGAGGTTCAAATTCCTTGATCCTTCTTCCCAGTGCAACATAATCTGCTGTGACCTGCTCAAGGTCAATCCTGGCCATATCATTAGTTCCTACATGGAGAAGCAGAAAGGCGTAGTGATCCGAAGGTTTAATCACTTTTGGAAGACTCTCGGTCACATCCTGAATGCGAGCTCCCGGTAAGCAATATACTTCTTAAGACTGGAGGTCTGGATGACAGATGGATGACTCAGTCCCTCTTAAGAGGGAGTCCCCGACCACCACCACCTGTCTTCTTTGGGGGGGAAGGGGGGGGGGCAGGGTTGTGCAACCCCCATCCCTAGGACTAGGCATCCCATGCCTTCCGGTAGATGGTGTTTCCTTCTGATTTCTTCTCTGAGAGGTCCCTGCCAAAGCATTCTCCACTGCAGTGCCTGTGGAGAGCGCCTGAAATCCATTTCTCACCCCTGCATGAATGGGGGATACCTGAGTTGGCCTTCTTCTAGAAGTTACATGCTAAAAGTTTTCTTCCTTGTCCTGTACTGCCCTGACTGGGTCTTCAGCCTACTGTGCCTGCAGAATTAAATGCTGCCTTCCATTACGGAAGTCTTCATCCTGATGGAATGTAGGGTCAATACTTGGGCCTCAAGTTCTCTAATTTTTTCTTCAAAAATGGCGACCGTTTGCACTTTCACTTAGTGCAGATGAAATCCCTTCTTTCTTCCGGGAGGAAGACCAGCATGACACATGCTGTGCAGATAACAATAGCAGACCTATCAATATCCATTCCTGTGTTCTGAGAGCTTCCTCAGTTATTAAATGCCTCCTTGAGGAAGCAGGAGTACGGTGGAAGATTTTAAAGAATGGTGAGTATATCTCGCCCCCTTTCCACTCCGCTTCCTAACTCTCTCCCCAAACTCCCTGTTCACAAGCTCTCTGGTCA